ATGAATCAAATATTTTAAATTTGAATTTCAATATTTTTGAATTGATCAAAATATAGTTCTAAAATTTAAATATCTAAGTTAGTCAAAAATTGGTTAGAATATATGGTCTAAAATTGGTCAAAATATATAGTTCCGACCATTTTGATTGATAAAAAAATTTTGATTGATTTTATTGGTCAGAATCAAAATTTTGACCACTTTGTTGGTCAAAACCAAAATTTTGACCATTTTTGTTGGTCAAAATGTTTTGACTATTTTCTGACCAAATTCTATTTGCGACCATCGATTTTTGACGAATCGATTTTGGTCAAGCACTAGTCAGAAATAGCTATTTTTGATAAATTTTGGACCAAATTAGTAGTTAAAATTGGAATGTTTTCTTGTAGTAATCAGTTTCGGATCGTATCAGGAATTGTAGAAGAGCTTTAAGTAAATGGAAGAAGACAAACTCAGCTAACTCCAAAGAGAGAATTAACATGATCCCGCATAAGCTTGAAGCAGAATACTCAGCTTTAAGGCCTTCTTTCAGTAGACTTAACTCTCTGGTAGATGTGTTTAATATCATGAAAAATTGTTGTGGTATTTTCAATATTAAAAAATAAATGGCATTTGCATGATCCCACCAGAACGTATTTGCTCATAATTGCACAAATGTGTACATACAATTAATTGTCCTATGGCTTTGGTTTCAGTAACTTTTTTAAGCTTTGTCTTTCATAATTGTTACCTACCTAACAGAATAATTCACGAAATATTTTGATTAATTTCACAAATATATAATTTAAATTACGTGGTGATATAGAGGTATATAAATATAACATAACTTGGTTGATTATAAGTTTGTAAAAGTTTCAGGAATTCAAATAAAAACGTCTAAATGCAAAAAAATTCTATGAATGTTAAATATAATTGTACCTTCTATGAATTGAAAAAAAAAACCCATCATGGCAGATGTGTTTAACATCATGAATGTTGGTATATTTTTTGGATTTTAGATTTTGCGGTAAATTTTATTTTGTTTTCTAAAAATTTGAATGGTGATTTTAGGCATGTCTATTCCAGAATGGATTTTTGTCGATGCGAATTTTTCGACTCCGTTCTGGTAATTATGTTGCCCATAATTACTTATTTTATTCAAACAGATATGAAAAGAACGTGAATGAGATAAGGTATCCGAACTACCCTTTTAAAAATTATCTGTAATTTTTTTAAATTTTTATAAATTTTTTAAAATTATCTAAAATACATGTCTTGAAGTTAATCTTTACAAAAATATTGAGAGTTTGGAAATAAATTTTAGCTACAGAAATTCCCCGAATCCATCGTTTTTTTTTATCTAGATTTGGCTATTGCTTTTTATACCTAAAATATCTGTTTTTTTCCTGCGATTTTATGTTTCAATTCCCAAAATACATGAATATGTGATTTTTAGCTTTTGGGTTTGTTTTTTGTATATGTATATTTAATCCACGATTCAAAGTAATATTTTATTAAAATACTAAGAATATGAACGTATCAAAAGTGAAACAACTATTAAGTTGACTAGATTAATAAGAAAAAAATACCTATAAAATCAGAAAGTTTTATTAAAGTAGCAAGATATTTCATCAATACAATACATACATGTTTGTTTGGCCGTATTTGTTGTGGTATTTTCGATATTAAAAAATAATATATAACATTTGCATGATCCCACCAGAACGTATTTGCTCAGAACTGAGAGAGTTGTAACAAAAACCATGAAAAAAAATATATACTTTTATAACTCTATAATTGAAATCTGTGCGTTTGCTCAGAATTGCACAAATGTGTAAATACAATTACTTGTCCTATGGCTTTGGTTTCAGTAGTTTTTTTTAGCTTTGTTTTTCAATAATGCCTAGCGAGCACAATAATTCACGAAATATTTTGATTAAAATCATGTCATTGTATATAATTTAAATCACGTGGTGTTCTTAGCCATTGGATCTGGTAGTTCAGGCATATCAACGGTGAAAATTAAGGTCTGAGTAATGGGCCGAGGTTAACATGGCCCAGTAAAACAAACTTTTAAGCTTTGTTTATTAGCAAGAAAGGGTTTGTAAGATCATGTGTTAAACTAACGACGGAGGCTCTGTGTGGCCGGCGTTTTGCTTCGTACGATCTGCGCTAGGAAGAGGTCTCCCTTTTCACTCGCCGGTGTGTCTTCACCGGAGAAAGGCAATCCTCCGAGCTCCATCCCTCCCCCTCCCGGCTTGGCTCGAGTGGAGCCTCTGGCCCTCTGACCTACGACCTCCGCCCCACCCTCTCGAGACTGCGAGACTACGGAGCGTCCAAAGGCGAGGCCACCTCCACCACCTGAGCCGCCGAACCCGCCAGACGCAGCCCTTGCACCGCCGCGCGCGCTCATCCATTCTGCTCTCCACCACCGTCTTGCTCCGGTAAACGCCCTAGACCAGAACGGTACCGGGTCTCTGTTCTTGGCTCTCGGCTATCCACCGAGGAGGTCGCCTATTGTCGGAGCTGTCCCCACCGACAAAACCTCACCGATATACAACCTCTCCACCGTCCATCGCCGTGTAACTAAGCCGAAGTCCTCTCCAGATCTGATCGGCACCGGATCGGAAAGGCCGGATAGATCTCGACGGCTGATGTTACCACCGCCTGGCTCCTCCTTCCTTCGATCCTGGGTTCGAGACTCTGTGTCTTAAATCCACATTCGAATTCTGATGAGGTCGCCTACTTCTCCCTCGCCAAAGCCTCATGTCGTCTTATCGGAATCAAATCAACCTCTCGTCGGTCACTGGTCCGGCAAAAGGTTTGTTGAGACTCGGAAACCCAGCTTCATGTTATCCTCACCGGCGGCGTTCTGCTCGTCGTCAACTGTACCAGGCCTCGACTGCACGTGTCTGCCCTCTCTACAACCAGAGATGTTGGGCCTGGGCCTACCGATTTTTGGGGCTTTTAAGCTCATTAAAATCTGTCTATGGCCCATACTCACTTCCTCAACAGATCTGGATTGAAATTGGGCTAAGGCCATGGACTGGTTTTGGGCTTGGCCCACGTCTGGTATAAGAGGTTGGAAACACATTTTTTCACCTCTATGATTTTTAAATATGATATCTTCTCTTATGAGACAACTAAACTAAAGTTTTATGGATTCTCAAATCCTGTAGTTTTTAATAAATTTACTTCTCTTCGGGAGAAAAGCCAAAAGTTTTCTGGATTCTCAAATCATGTAACGTACTCCCGGTGGAAGAGTCTAATTCCATCGTCCTCCATCTCTTTGAGATTGGTTATATCCTCGTTCCTCTCCAGGAGAGTGGTCGAATCCCCGAGCTTTATGCCGGGACTTCCAAAGTCACAATATAACGTGATTACCTTGAGAATCTTCGGCCTTGACATGAAGACCCTCTTGACGCATCTGAAGCTTGTCTTTTGATCCGCTGTCCATCTTCTATGATGATTTATCTGCTTTAGATTTTATTGCATTTCATTATGTTGTATTAATGTCTAGAGGATGTTTCATTTCTTCTCCTTGTATTTTGATCAGTTAAATGAATGAAGTACGCTTGTTGGGAAAAGAAAAAGAAAAAAAAAGGGTTTGTGAATTGCATGTGTAATAAAATAAACTTTTAAGCTGTGTGTTATTTTTTTTGTTTTTGATAAATTGTGTATGCATGTTTTCAATAGTTGTTGTTGCCACCATCTATGAGATTCATTTTATAAAGTAAATTATTCACGTAAAAAGTTAATCATCGAGAGGAATGTATTTATACTAGGAGTGAGTAATGAACCTTGTTCACTAAGAACACATCGAGAGCAATGTATTTTGATGATATATGTATTGTTCCACCTTAAAACCAATAAGTTGGAACGTATCTAAAGTAAAACAATCAACTTGACTAGATCAGGAAAACAAAAAAAAAATCTATAAAATCAGAAAATTTTATCAAAAGTGAGATGTACCATAACACTAGATTCTTTTTATCAATATTGAAAAAAAAAAAAATGACACTGGCACGCCCCACCAAAACATATTGCACAAAAATGTGAAGACATATCATTGTCCAATAGATTTGAATTCAGAATCTCTATGTTTTAAGCTTTCTTTTTAAATAATTGATACGTATGACAAAAATCATAAAAATAAAAAATAGAAAAAATAATAAGATTTTATAATTAAGTCGTCTATAAATGGAAGACGTTTGCTCTAAGAGCACACAAACATCAAAGAGAGAGTTTCAATGGGTTCTGAAGAAAACTAGTGTAAGGAACTTGAGAAAATGATGCAGGCACAAGCCTTTTTCCATAGAGATGCGCAAAACTCGTTCGGATCATTTTGCGATGACGCGAGAAGAATCGGCATCTGTGAAATTGATCGGAAGAAGAGCTCCGGTTGAGAAGCTAGCCGGTAAGGGCTATTTCGCATCTCGATCAACATGACCGAGATGACAATAAGAGTCGCTTGAAGTTCGCCGGTAAGGGTGTTGTCTGATTATGAAACGACAAGGATTGTGTAGGATATAATAAGCTCACCGAAAGGGCACAGACATGTTTTGGGAATCAGAACAATAAGGCTTCGGTACTTGTTCTTCTGAGCCTGCAGGTGGAGTCATTGCAAAATACAAGAATTGATAGTTTGGGAGACTAAGGTCGATACAAGAAGATGTTCTTGTAATTGTGGTGAAGACACCATTCTTTGGATTGATGTAGTGCCAAGTTTGTTTTCAGTTCGTTTCAGGTTCAAGGTATGAGTTAAAGAATCATCATATTCTTATGAAATTCAGAATCGACCCATCATCTCCTTAGACTCGATTAAAATCGTGGAGAAAACTTATCTTTTTTTTCCGCCAAAACAGAGAAAGCAGAACAAACCCTATTTTGTGCACGGAAGAAAATTTGGATCATTTTACAACCTGAATAAGAACCCTTTGATATAATCACAGAGAAACGTTTTATTCTTTTGAA